TAACTGCTGTAAACCTGGTTATACACAGTCGGGACAAACTTTATTGTTAACTGCAGTATACCTGGTTATACACAATCGGTACAAACTTTATTGTTACCTGCTGTAAACCTGTTTATACACAATCGGGACAAATTTTATTGTTAATTGCTGAATACCTGATTATACACAGTCGACACAAACTTTATTGTTTACTGCTGTATACCTGGTTATACACAGTCGGGACACACTTTATTGTTTACTGCTGTATACCTTTTTATACACAATCGGGACAAACTTTATTGTTAACTGCTGTAAAACGGTTATACATAGTCTGGACAAACGTTATTGTTAACTGCTGTAAATCTGGTTATACACAGTCGGGACAAACTTCATTGTTTACTGCTGTATACCTGGTTGTACACAGTCGGTACAAACTTTATTGTTTACTGGTGTATACCTGGTTATACACAGTCGGTACAAACTTTATTGTGAACTGCCGTATACCTGGTTATACACAATCGGGACAAACTTTATTGTTAACTGCTGTATACATTTACCTGGTTATACACAGTCGGGACAAACTTTATTGTTTACTGCTGTATACCTGGTTATACACAATCGGGACAAACTTTATTGTTAACTGCTGTATACATTTACCTGGTTATACACAGTCGGGACAAACTTTATTGTTTACTGCTGTATACCTGGTTATACACAATCGGGACAAACTTTATTGTTTACTGCTGTATACCTGGTTATACACAGTCGGGACAAACTTCATTGTTTACTGCTGTATACCTGGTTATACACAGTCGGTACAAACTTCATTGTTTACTGCTGCATACCTGGTTATACACAGTCGGTACAAACTTTATCGTTAACTGCTGTATACCTGGTTATACACAGTCGGGACAAACTTTATTGTTTACTGCTGTATACCTTGTTATACACAGTCGGGACATACTTGATTGTTTACTGCTGTATACCTTGTTATACACAGTCGGGACATACTTGATTGTTTACTGCTGTATACCTTTTTATGCACAATCGGGACAAACTTTGTTGTTTACTGCTGTATACCTGGTTATACGGTTATACACAACCGGGACAAACTTTATTGTTAGCTGCTGTAAAACGGTTATACATAGTTTGGACAAACTTTATTGTTAACTGCTGTAAATCTGGTTATACACGGTCGGGACAAACTTTATTGTTAATTGCTGTAAATCTGGTTATACACAGTCGGGATAAACTTTATTGTTTACTGCTGTATACCTTGTTATACACAGTCGGGACAAACTCTATTGTTGACTGCTGTATACCTGGTTACACACAGTCGGGACAAACTTGATTGTTTACTGCTGTATACCTTTTTATACACAATCGGGACAAACTTTATTGTTAGCTGCTGTAAAACGGTTATACATAGTCTGGACAAACTTTATTGTTAACTGCTGTAAATCTGGTTATACACAGTCGGGATAAACTTTATTTTTTACTGCTGTATACGGGACAAACTTTATTGTTAACTGCTGTAAAACGGTTATACATAGTCTGGACAAACTTTATTGTTAACTGCTGTAAATCTGGTTATACACGGGACAAACTTTATTGTTTACTGCTGTATACCTGGTTATACACAATCGGGACAAACTTTATTGTTAGCTGCTGTAAAACGGTTATACATAGTCTGGACAAACTTTATTGTAAACTGCTGTAAATCTGGTTATACACAGTCGGGATAAACTTTATTTTTTACTGCTGTATTCCTTGTTATACACAGTCGGGACAAACTCTATTGTTGACTGCTCTATACCTGGTTACACACAGTCGGGACAAACTTGATTGTTTACTGCTGTATGCCTTTTTATACACAATCGGGACAAACTTTATTGTTAACTGCTGCATATCTGGTTATACACAATCGGGACAAACTTTATTGTTAACTGCTGCATATCTGGTTATACACAATCGGGACAAACTTTATTGTTAGCTGCTGTAAAACGGTTATACATAGTCTGGACAAACTTTATTGTAAACTGCTGTAAATCTGGTTATACACAGTCGGGATAAACTTTATTTTTTACTGCTGTATCCCTTGTTATACACAGTCGGGACAAACTTTATTGTTTCCTGCTGTATACCTTGTTATGCACAGTCAGGACAAACTTTATTGTTTACTGCTGTATACCTGGTTATACACAATCGGGACAAACTTTATTGTTAACTGCTGCATATCTGGTTATACACAATCGGGACAAACTTTATTGTTAACTGCTGTAAACCTGGTTATACACAGTCGGTGCAAACTTTATTGTTAACTGTTGTATACCTGGTTATACAGAGTCGGGACAAACTTTATTGTTTACTCCTGTAAACCTGGTTATACACAGTCGGGACAAACTTTATTGTTTACTGCTGTATACCTGCATGAAACCGTTCTCATGCTCAAGTTTGGATTTTGTGCTCAAGCCTAATTTCTTGTTTTGTTCATAAACTAATAAATTAAACATGGTTATACGCGGTCGGGAAAATGTATACTTTAAAGCGGTAAAACTATGGTGATATTCAGTTGAGCAAAAAGTTTCCGTTTAACTTTTTTCAGACTAAATGTACCGTTACCATCTATAAGAAATGTTTACAAACTCCGAAACAAGATATACTGTAAGCGTGGTTACACTTATTTGGGACAAAATTATTGTAAACTGCTGTAACCACGGTTCCTATTTGTGTATAAGTTATTTATTAGCATTATCTTCATGAGCAACTTATCATACATGTAATTACATCATGATTCTTGTAGATACAAGATACATTAAACTTTATTTAAAGTCGCCTACATGTAAACAAGGAACATTAGTTCTTAAGAGCTATTATTGCGACAAACATATGTAAAATAACAATAGCACATTATATTACAAGTAAAGGGGAATGATCACATATATTAATAAAAAGCAATAATAGATAGCACAGAAAAAGGAAGTATCATATCTGAGGTTTCTAAGTGATTGATGTTGAGGGCACCAATATATCGACCTCTTGTGTTGAGGGCATTGCGCACAAATTTATATGATGTCTTTTTTTACGTTTTATATATTATACATGTATATGCAATTAGCTGACTAATCATTACGAACTACTACTATAATAATCTGATATTATTGCTATTTTTAAACATATATATCATTTTCAGCATTTTTTTGTAATAATAAATATACTCTTTACAAGTCAAAAAAAAAAAAAAAAAACTTAAGGCTTTCATTTGTACATGAGGTCCTTGCTGAACCTGTGCTACCAGTATAATTTTTATATTTTTATTTTTGTAGATGAATATGTGTATATCTTTGATAAACAAAAAATTATCATTTCTAGAAGAAGTTTTCTCTAATCTGTGAACGTTATATTGTTGGAAAATTTTGTTGGTAAGTAGCATTGTCTTCTATCTACTCGTACCTCTCTAACGTCTTAGTGTAAATTATAGTCGAGAGAATACGGTTTAAGAGAGGGCTCTGTTCATTCACTGCGAGTATGGCCCAAAATAAAATGAAACATTTCTACTGAAAACAAGTACAAGTTTTGCCAATATACAGTTTTAAGGAGAAATCAACTATTAGTGAAATGAATCTAGGTATTGTTATTTTTTTAACGTGGGTTATCTCTCTTTCAACGATATGTTTGTACTATATATTCTTTGCGATAAGAATAGGGTCAATTGACAGGGTACATGTTAATAGACCAGATTTTCAAAAAAATGCTTTAATGCTTTTAACTCATCTCAAACTTTTCATCTCATGCACGTTTCTAAGTTAAACAAGTCGAAAATTTTAAGCGCAATCCAATCCAATAAATCGTCAAGCATTAACCGTAAGCATCAGCTGGGCAGGATCCTGATGATAATGGCGGATGAAACCAACTTTCGTATCGATGAAGTGAAGCTTATGAAAGATACATGTATATTGTTAAATCATGAAATCCATTGTTTTTAAAAGGCATGCATTTTCATCAGCAAATGACTAGGGCCGTTAAGGGTCATTTACGGCCTCATCGGGGATTTATAAATAGTAACTATATTCGAAATTTGAAATAAATGAGGTACGCAAATATGAAATTTCAAATTCATTCGACAACTGGTTAAGGCAATACGGCATCTACGCATGCGCATTGGGAAACAAATCTGTACAAAGAAAGAAAGCCCTAATTTACAAATATGATGCTTATAACAGAAATTGGTTGATACATTCAAGCTGAAATTTTTACTTTTAATGAACGCCGTAAGTCCTTTATTGCTGCTCAGATCATCAGTCTTTCACATAATGGTACATAAGGTCTGTGTATCACCTTTTTAAAACAGATGCATTACTTTGACTGTGCATGTAACTGTATGTTTGACACACGTGTAGCTAACTTTGCCGCTAGATACATCTTTTTGGTTTAAATTCTTCGGGTAAAATACACATCTTTCATAATAACGAATTCGGATGGGCATTATTTGTCGACTCTGAAAAAGAATGAACAAAAACTTAAATCAGAATATCGTCATGAAACACACAAGTTTGAATGCATTAGTTCCCAATTACATCTATGCTATTCCAGATTTCAAAGAACATTTTGTAAACTTGTTTCTATTAGCGCACTCAAGTTTTGTGCATTAAATAATTTTAATATAACAGCAGCTGCTTGGCGCAATCATTATACATTTCTCATAAAACCGAAATTTAGAGTCATGCACTATCGCTATGATTTTTATTTTCAGTTTCATCTTTGTTCTGGAAAAGAATACGTCTGCTACATGTATACATCCCACGGTATGTTAGGGTTAAAAATGAGCTTTGCGGAGTCCTATGCAGAATTGGGGTTTTCCTCTGTTCCTTCTTCATCGTAAAAACCAAAATTGATCCCTGCACTTCTGAAGCAACACTTCAGACCTCTGTTTTTCTCCACCATACCTACTTTTCTACTTGCCATAAGCACACTTGAAATGAAAACCTTGAACAAAACAAAACACACAAATTCGACGTATATCGCAGATGGTTTTCTGCCATTTTATAAAGGGCGCGGTTACCAAATATAATGAGATCATACGTGTTTCACATGAATATATTACTTTAAATAAATAATATACAATAAGAGTTATACAACAAGAGAATTGAAGGACTGTACAAAATTTTCCTGAGCATCAACATTTAATTCAATTTATTTAAAACTCAGTCATACTAAACAATACTGTACACACGCTCACATATCATGGCGATGCCATTGTTATAACCAACATTTTACTTTATTGTAGAGTAAGTGTACCATATATATTTTCTCATATTAAAATGATGATATAAAATTACGTAAAAGAACACTTATATAATACATTTTCTTGAAACGTTGTATTAATGAATGAGAAAGTTTCATATTAAGACTGTATCCATCAGATAACTCTTTTGCCACATGGATTTGTTCATGTTCATTACGAACCTTAACGCAATTTTACAATGTAAACAAATAAAATTGAAAGATAATCTTTGAATATTTAACGAAGTTTCGGCCTTGACTACAAGAATGATACATGGTGTACGCAAACTTATACTCCATGTCCCTATTAAGATATACTTTCACATAAACTTGCATGGCGACAGCAGCAGTCATAATGCAGTCATGGTTTCTAAGACTATAACTGCACATCTCTGTCCTCGTGCATTTTACCAATCATGTCAAGCGTTTGAGTGCTAATGCTGTTTCCGTTTGTAAACGTCTGGGTTGCACTAGTTGACCTGCTAAAGGCGCTGCTAAAGGAACCAGAAGGCCGTAAGCGGTGAGTCAGCTCCATACATGTATCTGTAAACAAATGCAAACTTATGTTAACAATTATACTGTTATCGTGAGCTTACACGACTAAGCACTATCTACGAATAACTGTTCTCTATGCAACCTCGTAGTGGATATAGGAATAATTCCTTCCTTATCTGAACATGAGTTCAGTGACCAAGCGGGCAGTACACTCATGCATCTGGTAATGCTTTATGGCAATGAACATTTTGTTGCATAGCTCTATTTTGTTTTTAAAGTGTATTCATTTACACAAAAGAAACACACATTCTAATGAAAGAAAGTAGACTGAAAATCACGAAATTTCAACTTTTAAATACTGTGCTAAATGGAACTATGGACAATTATTAAACCAATGTCGAAAATACGCTACAACGAATTTTTGCGTCGATAAATTAAGTCAATATATGATAAGTGTATCTGCTCTGACATAGGTGAACAAAAGGATGCAATGCTACTACAAATCATACGCAAAATAGTACCTTTTCAGTATTTGCTCCTTATACTTGGTAAATTGTAATGAAGAGGACATAGTCAAACTGGTTTTTTTACTTAGAGCCAGTTATGCAAGTTGCAAAACTGTTTTGGTAACAACCTATCTGATAAAGATTTCCCCAGCGTTCTATTCAAGGTACCTTCAATGTCGGGTTACATGGTTGTGACAGTTGGTTTAGTTCTGTGTTGAAGGCTTTAACGCTCCATTAATAGCTACGGTCATTTTAAGGTGTATCTTCATGTGTGAAATGTATTCGAGCATGTGCTTATGTGTGCTGGAAGCAAGTTATGTTGGTGTAGCTGCCTCTTTGCCATAGGATCTGATGCCGACTTTAAAGTGCTATCTCACTGAAATACCATTCCACTCAGTATAGCATTCCGCCAAGTCACAATAGTTGACGCAGTTATTGCCAGTATCATTAGTGCTATAACCAGGTAAATATTTATCTTCAAACCGCTTTTCACATTGAAGAGTGTGTAGAAGTTTGACGATCCGTATAACGAATTAGATATTATATTTCTAATGGAAAAATAAGAAAAGTGCCAGTTTCATCAAGTGTCTCATTCAATCCTGCCCTCTCCTTCACCTCATTATTTGAAATGGGCAAATGAGACAAGAGAGGTATTTTTACAACTGATTTTTATTAGGCTTATGTTTATGTTTTTTTAATAAATCTACATAGTGTAAAAGCTATGCTTGATTTTTATTTGTTCCTATTTTCTCACTTTCACTTTTGCGATGACACATACCAATGCAGAAAAGATTAAATGGCTTGTGTACAAAACGTACATACATGTACACATGTATCTAAGATTTTCCAAGACAAGCGCCAGCCAAACCCTAAATTATAGACAAGCAACCCACATTAAACATCTTATAAAAACTGAATGGTATAACTCCAGAAAGTCCAGAAAAGTGCACAGAAGTACCACAGAGTGATCAATGAACGATGTTTAGATATGCCTATAAGCTCCCAGTGAGTGGGGACAACAATCGCCATTTCATCGTCCATTATTGCTCCCTTCAACGATCCATTTTGCCTGATAATTGACAAACAGAGAGACGTTCCTCCGTTTGGAATCCATCATGATGGCGGAGAGATACCGAAAATGTCGTTACCGGTCAGTTATGGCCAGTGTCCGTCCAACCCGTAGTCATCATACTGACAATGAGGCATCGCTTACCTTGCCACTAGAACCCCATCCATTGATATATGATTATTCTACAAGGTTTCAGAATTATTGGTTTTTGTTTTTCGCGATTCCCATCCGGGTTTTCGTGTCTGACGGATTTACCGTTATGCAATAGATTGTTTCATGTGTCAGTTACAATACAGTATACTACGTAACATTAAACTTTGTATGTCTAATCTTTCGCAATTTTTACGTTTACAAAACATTTTCGTGATTTACAATGCGTTTCGTGCTATCCCAATTATATATTTCATGTTCGACGGATTTATCGTCATTCAGTGGGTTGTTGGACAACATTCTGTCATATTTTCTTGCATAAAATATTAGACATTCAATCATTGTGAAAATGATGTGATAGAGAATACTTGCAAATAAAATCGTGATGATGTTTTAAGTTTAAGTGATGGTCAGCCAATAATAACAAAAAACTCCCTAAAGATCTGTCAACTGAAGATTGTTTTCCAAACTTTGCAAACTTTTAGCTTCATTCCAATACATGTATAATTAGCATTCTCATGACCATGTATCGTACAATTTTATGGTAACGAATGCCAATATATAATAGTATATATGTATTTGCAAATAGGTTTCAGAAACGTCAGCTCGGGAAATTAGGCTTTCGCAAAATAAATGAAATCATATGTACAATATATTCGGTATTTTATGTACATATAATGTTAGTAAGGAATGTCTCGGGTTGAGAATTTGTGTCCGTCTCTCAAGGCAGGGACATATTTTATTCATTTTTTAGCTGTTTATTGCTCGGAGTGAGACGAAACATAAACGACTTCTTTTAGCAATAACGTAAATAATGGGCCTTATAATCACTGCAGAAGAGCATTCTTATTACTTAAATCGCAGGGGAAACATTTCACAACGGACCCGTGTAAACCTTAGCCTCTTATACCAAACAGATCCCTTGTGCTGTAAAACATCGTATCTATATCTAACCAGTCTCATCCTATGAATCTTAAATTATTTCATTGAGCCTTTCTTCTTGCTTTTCTTATATCTCTTCCTATTGAATACTGTTCACACATAAGCTGCAATAGGACGAATCAATGTTGTAACGAAAACTGACCGTTTGATGACCGATCCCTCCCGCCATCAGTATTGACCCCTGACAGCGATACATAACTCTAGTTCTTCGCCTATCACGTTACCTCTTTGACAGATACGTGATGTATATGATGCACATGTGACCCATTGGATAGACTTTCGAACTCTTTGGCAGATTTTGATCAGGTGGCTAAGACAAAAATAATTGATCTAGCTTTCGGAAGTTTGTTTCATGTTTTCCTCTCCCACACAACCTTTCACACCTTGACAGTTAAATCAACACTTACATATTGACATATTGAAACGGTAACATTTACATCAGGGCGCAATAAATCAATAAATTTTCTTTTTTTCTTTCTTTTCCTATTTTTTGCGGTCGATATCAAACAGATGCACTGTTGTTTTGGATTGAGCAACCCGTCACTAAGTATTGAAAGAGTTTTACAATGAACGATTTCTCGATTTAAAAAGATAAAATAATTTGAATTTCGCAAGAGTTGATCAACAGCGTCAAAAACATACATTAATCAGATGTCAATCTTGGCTTGGTCATACGGATTTCCTTAATTAAATCAACGGTCTCCTCTCCTTAAATAATATTAACAAATGCTGTAATATTAATAGGACGGTGATTATTCATACGACTAGTTCCTGTAACGTAAATTTTGATATAAGAACACAAGGACGACTTTCCGTAGGGAATGGCTTAAGAGGGTCCTTATTGGAATGAATGTCGTCTGGAGAAGTCTGTTCCAGCAGATTGCATAGAAATTGCGTAATTACTTCTAGACCTGTTTGTCCGAGATTTAGACTGGTCAATGAATCTACACGTTGATACCGTGTGAAACAGACCTGAGCTATCACTATCGTCTGTCAGTGATGCAGTGAATGGGGAGAACCTAACATCATCGCCAGTTCTTAGGTGTTATTTAATAAGTAAATGCTTTTCTAGTTAGTATAAATGTTAAAAAGCGTATTCTGGCAATAAATCCAAGGTATCTCGAAGCGTGGTATTTTATATTTAATAAGATCAGAAGAAAATAGAACGACATTTCAGAGTAAAATTTGTCAAATCATGTGATGCAGGACACGATTTAAGGATGTCCTGGAACAGTTCTAGTGTAAAACTTTCACAATTTCATTTTCGCGTTGTCTGACTGATTCTACGATGTATAAATAACTATTCTGGGCTTTATAACACATCATACACCGGTAAACTTTAGAAACAGTTTCAGTTTTGAGCTCTCTTTATCAATAAAGGCTAGGTTTGATTTGAACACTAACAGGAAGTAAAAACTTAGTTTGCATCCTTTCGAAGACGTCTGTTTCCTTTGTCAAGCAAAAAGGGAAAATGACCGTTGTAACTAAACAGGAAAACATGATAGTTGAAGAGCGATATATCAAACAGGCCCTGACAACATGTGGATAAACAGAATTGCGATAAAGAGAGTAGGGAAACAAATGGAAAATAAATCCAATGCAGATGGCCCCAAGAAACAAAAACACACAAACACAAAGAGAAAAACTAACGTCATGTTCACTATCCCATAAACTTTCAAGATATCACATCAGCACGCCCATGCTACTATACAACACCATCAAGCACGTATCAGTTAATCCGAAAGATAAATTGCCGGATGGAAGACAAAACAGGGTCGGTTTACCAAATATCATGTAACAGCTGCTACCTTGCAACCATCGGGGAAACAGACCGGGAATTTGGGAAACGCTTTAAAGAACATCAGAAAGACGATGAAGCTATAAAACTGCAAGTGTTCACTTGAATTATAAAGATGTAGGAGATCCGGAAAATCAAAGAATCCATCTGGGTTAGGAGGGAAGGGAATTCGATGGACAGAGACACGGGAGCAACCAGCTTAGTCATCTTTCTGACCCATTTTTAACAACCACTAAGTGGTGGAATGGGTAAACATGTTTACCCACCCCCTGACTGCCTGCAGTATTGGAGTGCTATTGGGTGAGATGTCTCTATGATTTTTGACAGCTGGCTTTACTGATACACCACACTGCAGCTTATTGAGTTGGTTTCAGCGGTTTAGAGTCAAGACAATGGTTTTTTTCCACTCTTTTCTTGAAAAAAGAAACAGACGTTTTCGAAAGCTCGCAAAAAAAGTTCAAAACAAACTTAACCTTTATCATTTATACTAAACAAATGAACCTTATTCCGAATCTCTTCATTAATATCTATGTATTTACAATTGAAATGAACTAATCAACTGGCCTGTACCTAAATAAATATTTGGCACAAAAATATGTTTTCAAATTTACAGTTATATTGCACGTTTCAGTGGACTATAACCATATGCATACCGTGCAAACTGTTAAGTTCTCAAGAAATGTTTAGCATTTTGTCCAAGGAAAAGACGTTACAATTTTGGGATAAGAACATTTCATTTCTTAGATTCCATTTCTTTGAAAAGCTATTGATAAGGACATTTCATAACATGATTTTTGAAAAACTGCAAGATGACATCAGGAATAGAGCTTTGCTAATGTTGATATTTGATTTTGATAATTTATACCCGAGCATGATAGAAAATAATAATTTGTGTGTAATGGTGATAATATCTCACGTGGATCATACATTGGGGTAAAATCTTGCTTATGGGTTTACCCTATACAATGGTCTCTTCAGAAGATATCCTCTCTTAAAGATCTTACATTGGGGAAATGAAAAATCTTTCGTTTATTCATATTTGCCCTTTGTCTGTATCTATGACCCCCACACCATTTAAATTTTCTATCTTTCACAGAAAAATCGGTCGTATAATACAAACCTTCTGATTGAGTTGCTGACTCTATCCGGCACGTTGAGTAGTAATTGTTCTGTATCTGTACCGGCATTACAGGTTTGGACGCCATGATGGACTGTCGGACATTCTGGTCCGGATGTAGAATGATGATGGTTAGTTTTGAGGTAAACATACACACTAGCCCCACAGTTGCACTGAGACTGATGGAGAAACACATGGTGGCGATGCGGATCTGTATATTGTCCGCCGTGCTGAAGTAAATGGGCACAAACGCCAACCATATAATGCAGGTTGTATACATTGTAAGTCCTATATACTTAGATTCATTAAAAGCCTCGGGAATATTTCTAGTCCAAAATGCATAAAAAGTACAAACAATTATAAGAAATATGGGATACGTGAACCCGATCATGTACCAAGACTCCACGGCGTCGTGACACACCAGTTGGTGGTCCTCTCTGTTAGCGTAGAACGGCACGGCCTTCGGTGGTCGTAACAAGATCCACACTATTCCAACTGCGTTCTGCAATGCTACAAACGCACCACATATTACAAGTTGCGACTTTGGACTGATGAACTTTGGCCTTTTGCTAGTTCGTCTTCCTGCCCGAAATATCCTAGATATTCGGTTTGTTTTTGTCAAGATTGCTGAATAAACAATTGAAAAACACAACCCGATTCCGTATTGTTGTGCTCCACATGTGATCGGATTCGGTTTTGATACTAGTATGAAGGTCATTCCGTAACACAGAAATATTCCAATTAACAACACGAAACTCAGTTCTCGCCCGGAAGCTTTCACAATAGGCGAGTCGTTGAAGCGGAGGAATATCATCATAACGAATCCTGTTGCGAAGATTCCTAAAGTTGCGAATGCCATGGCAGTTACTGCAATAGGGTTAGAATAATTCAGATACGTCATGGGGATGGTAGAACATCGTTTCCTGTCAAAACTCGGGAGGGTCCCCATGGGGCAAGAGACACAGTTAAATTTGGTAGGTAAATAGCGATGGCCGTCACATTTCACACATGACCAACAACATGTGTCACCATCTATTATCTTATACGCTTCGTCGAAAGCACAATCCTTGCTGCATACAGATTCCGGATGTCCTGGCTCCTCGTCCATTCGGAACACCAAATCATCCACCTACACGTACATACAATATAGGAGACTTGTGGATCATTTCGTAAGGTGTAAAAACAATGACATATAAGAAATGGTTACAATTACATTATGTAATACATGTGAACGCCATTTAAATATGATATACAGGTAATTCGTACAGACGTAATTAAACTTGAAAATGTCAAAAACAGGCTGCTTTGAAAGACGTTTGCACTCTTACATAAACTTTGTGTGTAAGCAACTCGGAAAATATTCACTATGCATAAACATTATAACAAAATAGCAAAGAAATAGTACATTTCTGTATAAAGGGATCATTACACATTATTGATCCATCGCGCAAAAATACATCATATCTGTAAGATTTCAAGAGTGTTTCCTTTCCTCAATTATATAGATATAGTACTTTGTATGCTCAATCAAAATTAAAGATAAAATACTCCACAACTTCACTGCTATAAATAGCTTTCTACTTTACTCATATCAACGTATTACTACTTGCTAAAATGAGAAATCTCTATAACCTTAGCAATGCAAAAAGTACTTCTTGGTAGATGCTGTTCTTCAAGTGTGACAGTGTTAATTATTATTTATGTTACATCGTTCGAAAAAGCAGGGATTCTGTCTTCTTTTTGGCGTTTATTTAACGCACATTGATTTTCAGACAAAAGCTTTCCTAATTCACAATTGCATTCAGCCTTATGAAGTATGCATGAATATAGGTAATCCGAAATTCTGATGAAACTTTCTCAATATGTACCGACAGAAACATTCTGGACAATAATTTCTCATAATGCTTATGGAATTTAAATATTTTTTGTATGTTCTAGCATAACCAAGATACTCAGGCTAAGTTTGAAAATGAATAGAACCTATGCATTTTTGTTCAAGATACGGGCATAGCCAAAACTCTTATTGGTTACCGTCTCCGTACATCATCACAGCGGGTTTGCTTGTTAACTTGAAAATCAAAGAACGTAAAATATTTTGTTTGTCCAGTAGTTAGTAAACTTATTTCTGATTCATTTTCTAAAACCTATACTAAATTTGAAACGCTCAAACCAAACCCTAGTTCAACGAAACATCTTGTTTTGATAGCATTTTTAATTCTAAAAACGATTTACAATTACTTTACAGAACATTCTGCTTCCGGATCCGAGTTCTTTATAATCGAATACGAGGTTGATGAGGTTTATTTCATACATTGTACATATGTATGCAGGCAACAAAACGGACATGTTACGGTGGCATAGAAATGAATGTGATATATATCACCGATGTTGTGTATTGATTAATCTGTCTAGCCTCTTCTGCCCCGCATTGTTGTTAGCTTACCAAACCTAATCTGTCACTTCCTTGAAAGGTTACTTTTTGAAATTACTTCTAACATGTTTAAAATCGACTTGAAATTGGATTCAATTTCACTGAGACAGATACTGAGACAGTATATTCATGTATATCGTTATTGCTAGTGTGACTTTTAAATGGAGTTTAACCTACTGCGCTTGTATTGAAATTTGTACTCATGTGTCGAAATAAATAAATTGATACTCATTTATTAGAACATAGACGATTTAATTAAACATTATCAACAATTAAGAGAATGTTTAGAATTAACAGGCGTAATGAATAAGCAATAATTATCACTAAAAGAATAATATTAATATGATTGATATCTGACCGTTTTAAAAATTAACATGATTAACCATGACACTTTTTAACTATTAACTGGGTTAATACGAGCATGTGTAGCATTTGACAGGTAAACAGAGGGGGGTTCACGATACATCGACCTTTGTATCCTGCTTTAACCAATTATTAGCCAGAGGCTCGCTGAATTAAATTTTTTATAGACTCGTTTCATAAATCTCATATGAAATGGAACCTCATGTAAGTGTAATGATACTGTTCGATACTGTCAAACAGAGAAACCTATATCTTGTTTAATCACTGATTTAACCATACGGATTCACAAATCTATCAATCATGGTATTTACAATCGTGAAAAAAATGCACTTATGTTTCATAAACAACAATGAATTTTAGTCCCTAATAAAATATCGTGTTATATTCCGATTTATTTACTCCTTTAAGAAAAGCACGTCTCCTGACTTACACCAATCAAGCTGCCGTTCTTGAAGAATCCAACTGTGTCCCAAGAAAATTCTCCTGTTGTTTTCTTCCGGAAGTTCAAAATTCTGTACCTGGCCGGTCCGTCTCCGTTAGCTAGGAACGAGAACTCTTGTCCTGATAAACCTGTTGATACAGATACAATGTAATCAGTCCGTAACGTAAAGATTTTTTTGCATCTACACCCAATTATTTTTTTTTACATTGTGTTGCTCACTTTCCACAGTTTTTAAAGGTAACTAGGGAAAATAATATTAAATAATAGTAATGGAAAAATAAAATTTGAAAACAGCTGTGGGAACGAAACTTTCTTTTAGCAAAACATTGAATTTTGTTGTATATTTCATGTTATGATTTTACAAATAACGGTTTTTAAAGTTCCTTAGAAAGTCATATTTTACAAACATTAGTGAGTTCAGGTTGTGATACTTAACATAAACATTGTATACAAATCGTTGCTTACCGAGGGATACGTGCCATATCTATCAGCACTTATCCATACATTTCTACAATTATTTTAGACTCTTGCAATTATCCGTACCTCTCTGTGCTTATCCATACGTTCTACATTTATCCATACCTCTTGCAATAGCAACTACTCGTACCTCTCTGCGCTTATCCATTCATCTCCCTACTTAAAGATATAGAGCGTAACCCTTGGTAAGCTGGTACGTTGAGTTCAACATATACAAGTGCTAAACATTACCTGTAAAGCTAACGTTGAGCAGGAATCGTTTGAGAACCTCTCCCTCGACAGGATCCATGTTAGCACAGAGTCCAGGCTTCCCTTCACACAATACTTGATGCATGTCCTGTGTCAGTAAATTTGCATAATTTGGTTTCAAACGTAATTTCACACATAAAATTTATCGGGCGTTCAAAACTATGAACAGGGCAAGCATTATACGTGTGTATTCTCTGGAACAAAAGTTTTTTGACAACTGTCCCCTTTCTTTTAACCTAACATTTCGGCGCAGTTGTATGCGTATCACACGGTCTAACCGAAATGGAATTGTCAATGCTGTTTAACATATTTAAGATTTATTGCTCTAATGAGTGAACAAGGTGCACTCGTAGCTCTACTTATCTTGTCTTGGTAGATGCTTCACCATAACAATCGTGTATAACCTTTTATACATTTACATATGACTTATCGTAGAGATACAATTTACGCCGACAATACGATAATAATGGTTATTGTTAAAAATCAATTTATTTATTTCACAGCAATTATAAAGCAAGATTGTTTAACTTATGTAAATCAGTATTGTTGGCACGGATGACGCCATCACTTAGTGTGGGAAGATACCGAAATACACAAAGAAAACCTTTAGCTTTATGCAATGGCAGAAAAGAACAGGTATTGGACTAATTCTGAACTCGTAAAATATCAAGAAAGCTGATAAAACAGGAAAGTCAGCCATCGCACAATACAGAATTTAACGTTCTTTGTTGACCTGCCGTTTGGATATAAATTGATATCCATCATATTACTAAACATTACTTCAACGACAATAACAACAGAACAATATACCTTAAAAGCATAGGCAAAAGCTAACACGGAGTCACTGACGAATTGTAACTGAGCCTCCATATCAAAGTCTTTCTCTGACATCACTTCCTGTCCCGTGCACGGGTTTCCCGCGAACTCTTCATTATAAGGAGTCCAGCTACTCCTAGGGTATTTACATTTAAATTGTTGTTCCCAGTATTCAACGAACCATGGATTCCGCGTGTTCGTTTCCGGTTTAAGGTTTAAAAAGTACTCTCTGAACCCAATAACTTCAAAGGCCAAAGGTTGAACTGTGACTGCGCCCTCTACCTAAAACACAGAATGTGATAAATAAAGTATCTTATACATTTTATTTGTTATTAGTTGATTAAGATTTTTTACGCCTCAAATGGTCATATAAAAGGCAATGTTCAGAAAATGGCAGGATTACTTAAGTGGCGGTTTGTATGTTTGTATCATTGTTTTAGTTTTGTTATTTAAATTAATGAAGTATGTTTGAATTTGAAAGCAAAAGTTGGTCCTTACAATATAAATCAGACAAGCGCGTGTTTAACTAAACATGCCTGGGAGTGATCAGACTTAAATCCTCATTTCTACATGCACAGTGTAAGGGCAACATTGATTCACAATGTACCATTGTGTTATACATATATTCTGTAGTAGCAATAATATGCACGACGATACAGTCATACAGGCAGTAAATGTCCCACTATGTACATAAAACTATATTTGACAAAACCGACCTTTCTGACAGCCATTATAAATGTCTGAATGGCATCTCAGAAAACAATGTACATGTATACTTATGACAAAAACATAATCTTTTGATTAATTTCAAGTATTAAAAATAAATAAACTTGACAATGATGAAAATTGATCAACTAAGATTAAACATATTTTTTAATTGATATAATATATTCTAAATTAATGCATAAATTAATTAAGAAAAATATTGAAAGAGCGAAAAAAAAAGTGTTGAATACCGAATGATGAACTCAGAAATTAAAGTAGTATGCAAACGTTTCTCATAAAATTTGTTTTATAATCATTTATTCCCTTGAGACCATGTTAGTTGCTGGGTGTGTTTTTTGCAGTAAATCTTCTGCAGATGAAAAGGATAATTAAATTTGTCATGTATTACATTAAAGTAAAGTCACGTTTCAGAAGATCTTCAAACAACGAAGTGACAATTTTGAACTCAAAGGATTTGTTTTTGTGCACTTGACATCACATATGTAAACCGGTGAGGCAATGTAAGTTGCCTACTGCGTTTTGGCGTAAAACATTTTTCCGCTGATCAAAATAAAAATTTAAAAAAGCATTGTGATGTATCAAATTGGGGGAAAATTCACGTTTCAGAACGTCTTACGAAAACGTACCTCAACGGAATTGGTTTTGTGGACTTTGTTGTAAATATTAGAAAATGTACTTGGAGTTCTTGAATTATAGGTCATCAGGTGCGCCTATTGGGTGGAGATATATACAGCATGGGCACCAACTCCCCCTAGCAATACGTATCTTGCATATGTAGAGGTTGGTTAATAGACTTACCTCCGCCTCCTTGTCCAGGTAGGCGAGACCACGCCCTCCCCATCCATCACTTCCAATCCAGGAGAACATACCGGTGACATTCCGCCGTCTGACCGCCTCCATCAGTTCACCGACCTCCTGGTCTGATCCAAAAATGATGACTCCTAGAAATTCATAAAACATACGTTAAACTACATATTGTGAATAACGGATACATATCATATATGTGTAGGGCTGGTTCCTGATACAAAATGTTCGGGGGCAGCGGTGGTCAAGTTGTTTAAGCGTCTGACAGTTTGCTACCACTAGCCCTTCACCGCTGGGTTCGCGAGTTCGAGACCCACAAGGGGCGGTCGCCAGGTATTCCTACCGCCAGGGAGTCGGTGGGTTTTCTCCGGGACCTCCGCCACCACCACAACCTGGCACGTCCCTAATTAAATGACCAAAGCTGTTAATAGGACGTAAAACACAAAGATGTTCGAAAAGAAGGAAACTATACTATTCTTTGGTATTGCTGGCTGTCAATATCAATGAGCGTATCTCTCTAGGTTAATGGGAAGGCAAAGTCCTGCTGCATTAAATTGCATGTCATTTTAAGAGGCGACTAATATTTGTTTTTGTTTTTTGGGGTTTTTTTGTTCTGCTTAGAGGGCATTAAAGTAAACACATCTGAAATAGGCTACGCCCATTGTAACACTTGTGTCTTTTCTATCTTTCCGTCCTTTTCTGTTCTTATTCCCATCCATCCTTCTATATATGGCCACAGATGGTTCGATGATGTTTAACTCCTTACAAGCTACAACTCCAGAAGCAATGCCCCGCCCTGTCACGTGTTATGTTCGTCAGATTCTCCACTTCCGTTAATCATTAAAAATCGAAATATTGGCAAATTTGCATATTGACATTTATAAGAAATATATGAATATAGGCGTTCATTGCAGATTTAATTCTTATTTTCATTTCTTTAATAAATCAGAGAAAAGTCGAATTTTTCTTCAGATCATGTGATTGAAACATATATTACGATAACTTAATGGTAACAACAGGGAAAGGTTCTCACCTCTAGCATTTGACTTCTGCTTCAGTCTATCGACAATTGTGTCGTACGACGCCTGACCGGCTACGCCTGAATCCTTCAGGAGCTTCTCGGTTGTCGCAATACAAATGGAATTCTTCTTCAGTAACTTTTCCAGCTCATTAAAACCCTGAAAATATTTTATACATTATTCACCTGAGAAATATATAAGACGAATTATGAATGGTGAAAATAAGTTACTTACAGAAGTGCACAGTCTACATCTTTAAAGTCTATGATGGCGGGGGCCATGCATTTCAATTTAAATGTCGCAGAAATAACGACATTGAAACAGACATTATTTTCGTACCACCCATTATAGAGAAGTAGTTAATTAACATTTGTATTTAATTAACTCATGAAGTTATATTTAGCACGCAATTTACCGTATTCAGTCAACAGAGATATGAAAAACAAAAACATAATGAATGTTTGGACCTGCCCTACAAATCAGGATACCCCGATATATCCAAATTAACATTCTGCAATTGATTTGCAGGTTCCTGTGATTGAGACTTCTCCTGCAGGTAGGGTGTAAGAATTGTACCTGCTGCCCGCATTGCATGATCGTAAGAGGCGACTAAATTTGTGATCTAATATTTTCTCTTCTTTCTAAACATCTTTCTTCCTAATGTGTCCCTTTACGATGCCTCACAATTGGCCTTTAGTTGAGCTATCGCCCCTGTGAGGAAGGCTTTGGGTTCTGTCCCCTGGCCGAGACAAACCAGAGTCTGTAAAAATGGTAGTTTCTACTCCTGCTTATAATTAACGCTCAGCAATATAGGAATGGGACCACTGGTTCGCCCGTTGTCAGTATAATGTGACCGGGTGGGGTGTATTGCTGGGTGTCTTCGACAGTAAGTCACCATCAGTTACACTCTATCACAAGGAGACAAACACGAACATATCGAAGCCTCCCAAAACACACACGCATACACTACACGCATGCATCTTGCACACAGGGGGAGGCCGTCCTTAAATGGCCATAGCTGTTGAAACCAAACCAAACCAAACCAATTGACTGTTTCAACAATCTGATTGCGTCTGGTTTTTAGGTTAAGTGTGTGTTCGGTGCGGAAATAGACGTGACGACAATACAGATTTGATGTGTTTTAGAGCGTAAATCGATTGACAACCGTGAGACAATTTCATTTTGATACGATTTTCCAAACAACTAATGCCCTCTTCTGTTAACTCACCATGGTTTTATTAAATTCAACGAGTTTTTATCAGAGCCATATTATGCACACGTGTAGTTCTCGTGTCCTGCTTGTCAGTAGTCTCGTTCAACCAGACTCTTGTTGTCTGAGCGTCTGGTTGAACGAGACTAGCCTGTCAGAAGATCCGTACAGGTTATACAATGTTTTAAGTACCATAGAAAGCAAGACCGGGCTCAAACTAGTACAATGTAAATACAGCCAAGATCGAACCAAGAACACCCTTACTTATTCGAACAGCCAATGAAATGTCCAGAATTGCATGTATAATGATGTAATAGGGTGATTACTATCTTGTTTTATATAATTTGTATGTATACGTGTCTATGTGTTTGTGCCCAAATTGTTTAGAGTGTGTAAAAGAGATATGTGTGTGTTATAGGTTACAGGTAATGATTATTTGATTACTTACCTGTAGTTCTATTTTTATATATCACCTTACCTGTATTGTTCTATTTTTATATATCACATGGCGTACATGTGATAGCTGTGCATTTTTCTATTGGTCAAACTAGTAAAATACCCTTTGGTCAGTTTGGCGGGAATCTCTTTATAAGGAAGATCAGTACTCTCTTGCCTGCCAAACTGAAAAGACCTATTCTTCATCAAGACATTTTACGACAAAGGGACTGTAAGACAGACAGGGAATTTGTAGAGTTTATCATAGTGTAGGTGTTTAAACCTATGTTGAATAAAGAATTCACGACAAATAACGACTTGGTGGTCAATTTGAATACCCGGTTACATATGGAGCCTCCAGTGAGGACTACCCTCGATAGTACAGTACAGTAGTCATCGGCCATGTTTTTGTGATGAGTGTTTACGTGTGTGTCTATATATAGCTATCAGCTGATCGGGTCAAGGTCAGTGATTCAAGCGTTCGTCGGATAGAGATCCAATTTTCATCATTCTTGTGGAGATGTGCCTCCGTACCTGATTCAAACACATGAGTGATTCAGACTTTCCAAGATGGTGTCATATTGTGTGTTTGGGAATTTCTTTGGAAATTTATATCCGACTTTTGGCGCTTCCAGCTGAAGAACAAGGTATTTCATAGTATTTATAGACTACAAACATTATTCAGATATTGCAGAAGCTGTTTGTACTAGAGACATTAATTGACAGTCCGTAAATATATTGAGATTGTGCTTGAACATTGACATGGTTTATGATTATTGGTTGATATATTGCATTGAATAATATAATTGTATTGAAAATAATTGTATTGAACATATTTGTATTTCTTTTCAGATTTTGATTGATAGTGTTTAAATTTATTTTGGTTTTGTCATATCACTGGTATTTCATATTTTCTTTTCTGTTTATATTTTTGTAAAACTTTGCCATATTTTTCTTCTTTTCATTTTTTATTTTTTTGATAAACTTTGTGGTAATTCACACTTGTGTTTTTCTCCATATAGCGGTAGATAGCGAGACTGTGACCTAGACTTGACTGCGACTTATTATTTTTTTTCCTCAGTATTTTTTTATAGAATTTGATTTTCTAATTGCATTTTCATAATGATTTTGGCTTAATTTCTTGTCTCTTTTCAGTGTAATTCGGAATTAGATAATATGTAAAAAAAAACATTTATAAGATCCCCCCCTTGGACTTTCAGATTAGCTTTTACATTATACCTAATCAGTGGTTACTAAGTATACCTAGTCAGTGGTTACTAGAAGTTAGTGGTTACTGGTAGTTAGCTAGGCTCGGGTCATTAGTTACTAGTATTATATATATATTAGCAGACAGTAGTGTCTTATATTTCGGTATCTTAGATTCTTCGAGTGTTTTGTGTGTGCGAGTGTGTTGTCTCTGGGCTTTTGTGTTTACAGTGTTTATAAATATTACTTTAATAACAATGTTATCACTATAGTTAGTGATTGTTGCTGTCGATGCTGAAGGTACCAGTCCTTAATTAACGCAGGTAAGTATTAAGTACTGTGCATGTTTACATTTGTATAGCTTGTCTTCTGCTTGATATTTTTATTTCAGGATTGGACTTCTGTTTATTTCAGTATAAACTGTTACTTTATTGGACTTGTGTTTTTTCCCCTATTCTTGTTTACAACAAATGCTTTACTTTTGTGATTGTTGACGTTCATCGCTTGGTTCTTTGCATTCTGTACAATAATTCCATACATCATGGCGGACAAGGACGAGATGACAGAGCAGGAAGTGGCTAAGTTGGTTGCACATTTTAAGGCAATGAAGACCAAACCGAAGCTTGATACTCTTGAGGATTTCCAGTCATGGATGAAGGATCTTGTTTTGGCAGATGATGAAAATAAGGAAGGTGAGGATAGTAAGGCAAGAGTGAAGGAAGAGATTCATACCCAGTATACCACCTCTGCCATTCAGCACTTTCCTAAGATTTCTCATTTCTCAGGTGATAAAGATAAGAAGGATGTACCGTGTGATGTTTGGAGGAAAGAGGTTGAGTGTATCATTAGAGAAGGACATCCTCAGCATGCAGTAGCAAAGGCTATTAGAAGTTCACTGAAGGGAGAAGCTCTTAGAGTGAGATCTATTCTGCCAGCATCCGTCACAACAGGAGAAGTTATGGCAAAGATGGACAGTATATATGGTACTGTGGTAAATACTACCCACAACAAATACTATGCGATTAATTCGTACTCGTAATTACCGTTCCGAGTCGTACGCTGGTCGTTGTGATCCATATTGATATAAACATGTCTAGTATATTTTATTTATTAATGAAATTCGACTGGACAACAACGGAAACATAATTTTCGTTAAGAATGTGTACACCAACCCTTGCTGCATGTAAACTAAAACGACCCCTTTATCATCTGCAAGAATGCTGGGGCTTGCAATCTTTTCATGTCTGACGTGAAGGTTAAAACGTCCGCCGAATCCGTCACCACCGTGAGAGCCACTTCATTTCCTAAAGCCCGGATTAATCTCTACGGAAGCAATGTCATTGTTATCGGCATGCTTGAAAGGCCAAGCACACAAAAACATGTCTTTGGTCAGTATGACCCACATTACAAATGACAAAAATATCATTTATATGTGTAGGGTATTGACGTCAAAAACTATTTCGGGTTTAGCAGAATCAATATTTATCTTGTACACCGGATTCAACTCCTCCACTGCTAGCGTCAATCACTTATATCAGACGATACCGGAACAGGAAACAGTCATAGCAGACCGGAAATTCTTGGAAGAGGTCGGCTGAGTATTTTATATGTTCAAAAGACAAATGGTCATTACTGTACATGACAATGTTGTTAACACAACTGGAAAAACACTTCGCAAAAAAATGTCATGGTCCAAATTTGCATGACATAAAATGGCATTCAAAGGTGATATATTGTGTAATTCTGATCAGGTTTTAATTATTTCTAAGCGAAAATTCAATGAAACATGTCCGATGTGCTTTTCCCATACTCATCTCATTGCTAAACCCTCCTCGGGGAGACTGATGATTCGGTAATAATGAAATGTATATTTTTGAAAGGATATCAGCATACATACAAGTATTTATCCATTTAAAAAAATCGAAGTGAACATGTAGATTTTCTTTTTAAATTACCGAATTCTCTCATTTTTGGCACCGACCCTTGTGGGGTTGAAACAGTAAAATACATATTTTTCCTGTAGTTGGCCATGGATGTTTTCTTTTGTTTTTTTAATGAAATCGGTTCTGCAGGCTTTGAGAAGAGACACGTGAATTGTTTCCTGACTTACACTGCACGACGCACAGAGACGCACAAAGACGCACAAAAGGCGATCACATGATATTGTGTCAAATAGATCGTCTACAAAGAGATCAGATCGTATGGAGGCGTTTTGCTTATTTAATGATATATATCATTTTAAGACATTAATCTTTAGAATACAGCGTGACATTATATAATGCAATATCACCATATGACCTACTCAACAATGTCATGTTCTGAAATAGATCTGACTTAAGCTCGATTTATGACGAGATTATACAATCAGAGGTGCATTAACACGTTTTCATCGCGTCATATTTGATCTATTAAACATACAAGGTCATATAACTGAATATAGATGTGATAGACAGATGAGTTTCTAGCTGTCAGAAGTAGATAGACATCGTTCTAGCCATTCGCAAAAACTGACAAAGGACCCAACGGTCAAGGTTCTGTCCTACTAGTGGACAGCGGTCAGATTTGTGGGCTAAATATCAAATAACACTTTATCGCTATAAAGAAATAACTATCAGGAAAAAGGTTTATGTCCCTCTCTTAGGACTACTTGAGAGCAAGGGCATCCACTACAACATAAATACACCAAAGTCAATGACCACTGTCCAGTCAATACCCAGACGCCTTAGACAACATCTTTTATGATAATGGCCGTTAACAAAATGTCATTTATATCTGTGTTTCTTCCGTGAAAATCTTATCGGGCCAACGGACAGGTCCAAGTCACTAAAACGCTTAACTGTTAGTTTGTAAATATGAATCGTGAAGCGTTCATTGTCGTGTAAAGAATAAACAATGTTGATATGTTTCTCTCTTTATTTAAAAGTCATGCAAATATTCCCATTATTCAGCCGGAAGGAATAATAAAAACATGTAGCATGTTGTATTATAACTATCAAGCTAACTACTTAGGTTTAACAAGGACGAAGGAAGGTAACTCTGGCAGATGATAGCGATAACATGTTTAGCTTGTAATCTTAATATGACTAACTTGATTGTCTCCCAAACCAAGGTCAAGATTATACACTGGCTAGTTATTTATTTTACTTCGCCAAGCTGGATGATGTATGTGTCACTCGCGTGCTATTTAGGTTAAATATGCAAATCTGTGTCCTAATAGGTCATTTCATTGAAGTCCTCTCCATGCTTGCAGACAGTAAATCGTGATCAAAGCATTAGATTGAGCGAGATTAATGAAAATCCTGTGTCAACCCGTCAATATTTCTAGCACTCTGCGTTTCCTTGTCTCATGACGTTATTCTTTTCTTTTTTGTTGTTCATTCATTAAAACATATTTTATTGAAAGAAAACAATCAAATGGATTGGGCAAATGTTCTGACAATTTACTAGGCTTGTTTACTTACAAACTTGTTGTTTGTGTTTCTAGGAAGAATAAATATAGGATCCTACATGAGTTTCCATTTTATGAGATATATGAAACAAGTCTAAGAATTTTTCAATTAAGCGAGCCTCTGGCGAGCTAAAATGAAAAATTCGTGATGAGTTTCATAAATTTCATATGAAATGAAACGAGTATAAGATCCTTTTTATCACATTATCAAGATTTGTGGCATTTATTCGTATAAAACGATAATTTTCCTGCAACCTTGAAATGTAAAATGCCTCCATTTTGACTCAAGTGCAGAAGTCTGCGACATCATGTACTTGTCCTTGGCGTGACGTCACAATTGGAACAATTAAAACTTACAACCAATCACAGGGCTTATGGGTCACATTGCATGGGTTAATACGCAAAAAAATATGACATAGAGAATAATACATGCCTTTTTTCATACCACACCCAGTATCAACCCGAGACTGCAATATCAGTCCAAGGGCCGAAGGCTGATATTGGTTGAGGGTTGATACTGGGTGTGATATGGAAAAAGACGTGTTTTATTCTGTTTATTACATACTTACTAATACAAACTTCTAACTTATGATCTATTTTTCTTTTAAAATATTGAAAAAAGATAAATTTGCAAAAGGGGTGTGACACGGGTTTTGCGGGCTGACACGGGTTTTTGGGTGTGATAAGGCGGGGGCTGATGCGGGTTTTGGGGTGTGATACGGCGAGGGCTGATATGGGTTAGAGCAATTGTTTCGTATCGCATATACAAAAAACCCGTATTTATTAGTAAGTATGTAATAAATGGGTATATTACTGTGGATATCACAGTACATTATGAGATAGGCCTTTATATATTGATGCATGTATCATACAATTTTTTTATAAACTCATTTGCAGTCATAGGCCGTTGTGTGTGCTAGAAGGGAATGTTACAAGATACAAGAATCGTTATTTAACGTCGCATACCAGAAACATACCAACATTAGCATAGTAGAGAACTATATCTGTGACAAGTATGGGTACACTTATAAAAACAAACAAAAGCATATGTTGAGGGCAAATTTATAATATCAATAATCAACATCCAAATTAACGCCCTATCCAGCTAGAATAAGCCACTATAAAGCGCTCTTCAGTACATAAATATACAGTTTATACAATCAATACAATTAGCATATACATTAATCGATACAGTTTTGAGTAATTCGCAGGAGCTGCCTTATCAGGCGCTAACTATTAGTCCAATGCCACCACGCTAATATCTCCCTATGTGTGTATGGTGTTATCTTTGTAGTGGGACCGTGCTTTCAACGGTATCATTTATAGTGTCACATCACTTGAATGCTACAGCACAGATCCCGCAACAGCTACCGCATACCATTTTATACTCCACCTGGGTTGTTGGTGTTGTTTGGGAAGGAGAAAAACTGCGTATGACGACTTCGGGGATCGAACCCCGGCCGCCTGCTAGGAAGGTTGGAGTGTTGACCACTCGACCATATTGTTATGATTATCAATGCTTAACGGCCCATCAACAAAGAAAAGGTAATTAGGGCCAGAAATGGTCGACAAAAAAATGCTAATTCAAATTGTAAAGGTGAGAAAAAGGAGAAAGAACAAAGAGGAAGAAAAGAAAAGAGAAACGACAGAAACAAAATCTACACTATATACATGGGACTCTGAGGATTTACCAGGGCCCGACCATTCCAGAGGAATGCCCAAAGGGTTGGCCCGAAAGCGGACATCTGTAAACCAACCCCCCAGGAAGGAATGCACAACGGTGCAAACCTAGCATGTGCGTCCCGGTCAAAGAACTGTGTTGCTTGGTCTGACCTCTACCTTTCAACATGTCTGGCTTGGATGACACTAACAGGGGCACTAAGCCCCAACCAGCATAACTATCCAGGTCATTGAGGTACTCAATCCCCCCACCACGTAAAGGTGCAGCGAGTAGGGGGTAACCACGCGACCAATCCGCCAATGTATATGTCAGTGTAGAAAGCACTACAAAGTAAACATTTAACTGTGTCATATTGTCATTTCGTCCATTTAGAAATTCTGCAGTAGTTTTGGTTTTCGTACTTACCTGAATTCCATAGCTGGATTCCTCGTACACCACGGATACGTAGGTCCATTTGAACATCTTGACCAATTCGACCATGGCCTGCGCCTGATTGACGTCAGAAGGGATTGTCCTCATAAAGTATGGATAACGATCACGTCTGCTGAGAACTGGGCTGGTCGAAAAGAAGCTCACCTAAAAATGAAAATACGGCCAGAGATATGTGACATTTGGTATATACTATTAAGTTGTAAGTAAAATGGTGTTGGTTTAATTTTGCATTAATTAATAATTTAATCATGACAAAGAAACCTTTTGAATTGGGTGATCTACATTCAATGACCGGAACGAGATACAAGACACCGCTACAGACTAAATCTGCACGGAACTTATTTTATGAGGCTCTTAACTCCATGTCTGTCCATACAATACACGCACCTAAACAACAAGGGAAAATAACTGCCTTTGTCCCCACATGAAGACCACAAGACAGCATTTCAAATCATTGTCAATATGCCACATTCTTTGCTACAGTAACGCTGCCTGACACAAATTCATGTGAATTTGAAAATGCATGTTCTGTTCTACTGTAGACGTGATTGACACACTTTAATCCATTGTTCTATTTTGTATGGCATACGACATAACTCTTGTCCTTGTAGTACGGCTACAATATATCCTTCTGAAATTAAAGCAATGCACTTGTCTCTCAAAACTGTCCCTACTGTGATGCTACAAGAATACCTTTCAATAAGGACGAAACACTGCTTCGGTGCTATATGATTGCTGTAAAGACATCGTTTCATATCAATAGATGACAACTCTTCTATCCCAAAGTAAGGTATGTAGCCTTCAAATCAGAACACAACACCACTCAGCTGTCCACGTACTAAGGCTGCAAGACAGCATTAAAAAGTTAGCCTATACACTAACTCTGTCCCACAGTGATACTAGACTGCAAGACAACCTATTAAAACATGGACAAGACTCGGCTTCTGTCCAAAAACTATGGTTGATTGACACTCTTTGAAATCATGACAAGGAAACTGTTTCTATCTCATAGTAAGATTAGACTGCAAGACAGACTTTTAAATCGGAAAAGGACACCGCTACTGTCCCCTAGTAAGACTGCCTACAGCTTTCCGAATCAGAACATGGCACCGCCTAACTCTCCCCCGTCGTACGACTGCAATAAACCTTTCTGAATCAGTACATGGTACCGCCTAACTCTCCCCCGTCGTACGACTGCTATAAACCTTTCTGAATCAGAACATGGTACCGCCTAACCCTCCCCCGTCGTACGACTGCAATAAACCTTTCTGAATCAGAACATGGCACCGCCTAACTCTCCCCCGTCGTACGACTGCTATAAACCTTTCTGAATCAGAACATGGTACCGCCTAACCCTCCCCCGCCGTACGACTGCAATAAACCTTTCTGAATCAGAACATGGCACCGCCTAACTCTCCCCCGTCGAACGAAGGAACTAAACCTTTCCGAATCAGGACAAAATGCCGCAATAGAAAGACTTTCTGACAACATTCAAATGAGGCCAAAACACCAATTAATCGTCCCAATAGTCAAAACTACAAGACAACATTTCAAATGTAGACAATACACTACTTCTGTCCCCATAGTAAGACGCTAGGCAAAATTCTTAATAGGACACTTTACCCCTTCAGTCTCTATGAGAACCCTGCAAGACGGCCTTTTAAATTAGGGCAAGACAATGAAAAGACCCAATAATAAGGATACAGAACATGTTTTCGTGACACACTTTCAATCTAAATGATATCTACTTCGGAACCACCTCTTCTTGTCATTATTACAAAGTTAGTACTTGTCAAAATATCCCCCTTTTTTTCTTCTTCAAACCACATATCAGCCCAACGGCTAATTCCTTTCTGTTATATACCATCAACTGTGCACTACCTATTCTTCTGCCTTTTCTAATATATCTCAGCAACCTTAAATTAAATCCATCTCTATTGATTCAATAAACAGACAGTGTTGAATAGGACCAGTTGAATGGTGCAGGTTTCCATCGCTTTGACATTTTACCGGTAATTGGACCGTCAATACCGTCCCAGTGTGCAAATACGTCCCAGATTTTGATAATTTTCTTGAATTCTGTTTTGAGTAAATTGCCTTTCCATGATGAGGTACAATCCCTTTTTCTGTCATCCGTTTGCCTACAATCAATACAGAATTCGAAACTGCGAGAAATAAACGAGTTTGTCTTCAACAGCCGTGAACCTCTTCCTTCGAAACTTTGACATAGAGTATTGAATCCCGCCTGTGAAAACACATATATTGGAAATGTCCTTCGAACCGTTAGAACAATTGATTAATACTCATTTTAGACGTTGAAATAAATGGATGTTGTAGCTTTTGATATCATTAGGATGTGTTTTACCAGCTAACAAAGGATTTTTTTTTTAATGGAGAATATAAGAATATATTTAAATACATTTAAATATAGTGAAAGAAGACTTCTTTTTGTGGATTTATTTATTAAGTTTCTGTTGCGTTTGTGATTATACTGTGAGGTAGGAACCTTTAGTAGTTAAGATATATGTAATGGAAGTATAAAAAAGAAGACTTAGAACCTTTATTTTATTACAATTATTATTGAATGTGTACGGTGAATCTAGAGTTATATGATCACAATAATATATAGGTAAAAAAAACACGTGATGGGGCAGGAATCCCCATACCTTTTCACGTCCTATCTGGGAATCGAACCCCGTCCGCCTTGGTAAAAGGCAAGTACGCCACCCGACCTACCCAGATAGTGGGGCCATAATCCACATCGGTCGAAGTAACCAATGAAAAACATTTTAAAACTCGTAAAATTCATCAAAAACATCATCTGCTTCATTGCTCCGATCTCACCAAGACAGAATCCAACGATCTTCCAAAAAATTTCTCGACCTTTTTGGTGATGAATTCTCGTCTAGCGGGGATGAAAGTTGGCAGACATTGATTTTGAACCAAATGACACGAATGCAGGCTCATCCAAAATCGTACAATATTTGAATGATACAAATGTTGAGACAAGGCATGTCATGTTAGTTTCTAACCACAAAAAGAAAACGAATCCACATTCCGGTCATATAACATGACCGTGTCAACATCACGAAAGACAGGACAGAGTGGCGCACTCTCCTGTTTAACTCATCCCGAGTCTGTCGCAAGGTCACACATTTCAAAGCTATCACGCGTCCATCAGCAACGGTTTCCTCAATTTCTGACGACATGTCAAATAACAAGGCTGAGTAGCGTGTCAATATGTGAAAACAACCCAATATGTGAAAACAGGAAAAACTATAGTGAATCTCGCTCTCTGCACCCCTGGAATATGTCATAGCAAAATTGAAGACACGAAGATATCTGTTTGGTTGGTCTCAGGCAAAAATACTGACCATTCGTTAGGCTGACACCTGTCATTTGAATATTACAAAGGAGAGACGCCCGACTTCAAAGCCTGTCAATTTTTACTGTTACGTGACCGCGAGTCTTTTGATGTATATCAAAGGATCAAACTAGTTTTCTTGTCTCATCGTAACCCCTGGAGTATCGAGGATGACTGCATCCTGGTTTCCAATCAATCAACAAATAAAATCACACCTGGATTCTTCGCAAATTTGAACTTTCTCACTGCACATTCAACTTCCAAAATTAACTCTCTCGTGGAAGGCAAGGTTGGATTACGGTGTTGACTGTATTTATCCATGAGCAAAACAATGTCTGGGGTAAAAATCAAAACAATTTCAACTCCACCTTTCAGCTCAGATTTCCATTGATAACTTAAATCACCCTGTACATATGTCATACACAAGTGTATTGATAATACATTGCGGAATAAAACTCAAGTGTTTAAAGTACTACAATTTGTGTGGACTGTCGATAAGGCGGGAGTTTTAAATCTTAAATATAACTTGTTAGTTGAAAAAAGCAATCAAGGCAGAGAAAACTTAAATATAAGTATTGAACTGTTTTTGTATGGCATTTGTGATCTATTTGAATTCAATTCAATTCAAAAATATTTTATTGACAATACATATATAGTACAAACAGATAAGTTATATATCTTAAGAAGATGTTAGTACAGTATTTACAAAAGAATCAGACAACAGGCTATGCCTGTATCAGTCTTCTTCTAATTTTGATCTATTTGAATGACACAGCTTTGCAAGCAAACAAATCATAATGCGCGCAAATAGATCATAAATGCCATACAAAAATAGTTCTATGCTTAGGTATCTCATTAGGGAATCAAAATCGATTCGTTTGTGCAAAAAAATGAATATGCCGTGATACCCATGAAATGATTTCAGGGCCCATATTCATACAACCGTTTTCATGCTTATGCATACGTTCTGTGCTCAAACCAACTTTCCTAAACTCTCTTAAATCAAGTGACACTGACAAAAGTTCAAGTGTAAATATTGAAAACAGTATTCGGCGTTAAGTCTGTCCAAAGTTTTTTCAAATCGCTGAGAAAATGAAATATGGATTTGTATTAATTTATCACTGGAGTAGGAAATTGGGTTTGAGCAGCATGAGATATTTTTTATGAATACGGGTTCAGTTGTATAAAATGTATAAAAGAAGCAATAACTGCAACGTCATACATATCAATGCGATGACGTCACAATTAAGTGATGCTTCTTTTAAAAATGTCAACCTTCCCTTAACAGTTTCTGTTTATATAAACTAATGCTGTATTAGATTATCTGATGACGCATGCCATAAAAGTATAATCTCGAACGTGATTCTCAAATCCATATTACTCAAGCTCATTTTATAAATAGCACAGCCTCTCAAGTGCTTAATCCCAAACAAATATGGTTTCAATCGTCAAAAGTACACTTCTATCCATACTCAAAAAATCCACATGAAATGAATCACTGTCACCGTAAAGCGGGGAGATAATCTTTGCTCGTTCTGAGGATTTGGTACGAACGAGAAAAGAAATCGAGAAAAAAAGAATATCCTGGTTTTAAACATGATTCTGGAGTGTTTAAATCTTTAGCTGGCAACACGCAGTGATGTACCATAGAATAGTGACCAACACAATGAGGAAAAGTCAACAGATATGCTATAAGCCGTCTCGTAAAGTATAGCTCGAGCTCTTGCTCGCCTGCTTGGGACATTTTTTTCTGAATATCTTTAAAATTACAAGGAGAATA